TTTATTGCATGAAATTATTTGTTAGAGAAAAATTTAGCACTGAATATATGGTAAAATATTGATTTTTATATTTCTCTATTTGAGATAAGTCATCGAATGGGTCCGAAGAAGCAACAAGAAATATCGACCATGCGTCGGTTATTTGGTTTTGAATTGGCTGATTTTCAATCATGGTCAAATTTTGTTAAACTAATGAATCGTCCGGAAGATCCAAGTTCATTAGCTGCTTTGCGTATTTTATTTGGTATGAATAAAAAAAAAAGAACGAAAATCATTGTTAAAAATACATTTCTATTCTATATTGATAATGTCAAATTTGTCTTAGTTTTTCTAAGGACAAGAGACAAAGATATCAAATTAATTAAACAGTAGTACTAGCTTTGCTTGCTTTGTGCATCGTTAGCCGTTTTTTTTTCTTGCTAGATGGTTTTACAAACTTATTATCTGTGAATATAAAGTGTCACTTTAGTTCTCTCTCGTTTTATTGTTCCAATCGACGAAAAAACTCGCTTAGTATTGTTGTAGTTTTATTTTTCCTATTGATTGAAATTTTCTTTTTCATGTTATTGAATTCATTATTTTAGGTATTCTTATGATGTTGGATATACCTCAAGAACGTGGTATGTCTCATGCTGATATTTATTATCCAAATGAAGATAAAGAATGTCAATTTCCATTATTCAATTTTCTTGGACCATTTCGTGCTGAATACATGGTTGTGATTTATTTCATTATGTTTCTCAGTATGAATAAGATTTTTTTCTTTTCAAATGTTTGTCTCGAACATTTTCAATTCTTTTCTTTTTCTAAGGTGCTGTTGGTATCACATTAGGTTTCTTTTATCGTCTCGCAACAATATCTTTTACAATAACATATTGGTATATTTTTCTTCTTGACAAAACATCATGGAACAATCATTCGTATTTATATGGTTTAATCGGTTTTCAATTGATGTTTTTTGATGCACATCATTACTGGTAAACGTTCATGTATTTTTTTCTTTTCTCTAATCCAAACAATATATGTATTGATTTTAAATAAGAACAAAAAAAAAGAATTATGTATTTTTTATTTTATAGAAAAAGTTCAGGATAATAATAAATGTCAGTGAGTGATGTTTGTCCTTTCATATTAAAATCATTTGGGCTAAAAAAAAAACAATCATAGTGATTTTGATTTTTTTTTGCACACATTTTCTCACATTATTTCTTCTTCTGGTTGACCATTCGTTTGTGTATTATTTTGAAATTATAAATAAAATTTTCTATATTGTAGGTCAATTGATGGATTATTTCGAAAGAAAATTCGGAATTCACATGTACCTTTATGGAATTATACATTAGTTCGATATCAAATATTTCTTGTTTATTTTCTTGCGGGTTTGAAAAAAACTGAATGGGATTGGGTTGCTGGATATTCGATGGACTCATTAGGTGATCATTGGGTATTTTCACCATTTCGGTAAATAATTCAATAGAATATAAAATAATTAATAAAAGTAATTTGATTTTTTTCTTAGAACATTTATGACCGTAGAACAGATTACTTTGATTCTCGTACATGTTTGTGGTCTTCTCTTTGATTTATGTATTGGTTTTGTCCTCTTTTTTGATTGTTCACGACCAATTGGAATCATCTTTGCTGTCACTTTTCATTTAATGAATTCTCAAATGTTTAATATTGGTAAAGGAGTTTTATTAATTAAAGATTTGTTTGTTTTTTTTTCTAAAAATAATTGTCGATTTAAGGAATGTTTCCATATACAATGCTTGCTACAGTTCCAATATTTTTTCATAATGACTGGTTACGAAAATTTGTAAATCGTTATGTGCCAAAATTTTTATATAAAGAAGAATCATTACAATATAGTTCATCATGTTTATATTCAAAGGAAGAAATTAAACCAGAAGAATCTAAAACTCAATCATTAAAATCAGCAATTGCCAATGCTACTTCAGTTAAAAATGCACCCGTCAAAGCAACATTTCGTCATAAAGTTTTTGCCATTTTTGCACTTCTTTATCTTACTGAACAAGCATTTTTACCTTATTCACATTTTATTACTAAAGGTTATAATAATTGGACTAATGTAAGTTGATTCAGTGGATTTAATTCGACGTAAAAAAGAACGTTTTATTTTTCAGGGTCTATATGGTTATTCATGGGATATGATGGTACACAGTTGGCATACGTAAGAATAGATTTTTGTCTAATTTGTATCTATTCCATTTTTTTTTAAATAGTCAACACGTGAAAATAACTTTTGTTGATAAAAAGACTAATGAACCTCATTATTTAAGACCAACTGCATGGGCATCAGCAAAACGATGGAGTTCTCATGCTGATATGATTGGTAAATAATTTTCATAAAAAAAACAAAATAAAAATGAGATATTTATGATCTTTGTTCTAGTTCAATATGCTCAATGTATAGAAGGAAAATTACAAGAACATGGTTATGATGATGTTGAACTTCATTTTGATATATGGCGTTCAATGAATGGACGATTTAATCAACGACAAATTGATCCACGTATTGATTTACTTTCATCAGAGGCTAAATGGAGTCCATTTGAAGATACATCATGGTTACTACCATTATTAACAAATCTAAGTGATTGGAGAACACGTATGCTACAAATTGAAAATGATTTATCAAGTAAAGATCAAAATGTTCTTATCACATTTGTTGCTGATTTTCCGGGTAAAAACAAAAAATAAATTTTATTTTTCAAAAAATTTCAAACAACAAATATATATATATATTTAAGGTCTTTTTCTTGAAAATTATATACCACCAGATTTAAATACAACTATTGAAGTACTTGAAGGTCAAATTATAGTTGAATTAATAAGTTTAAAAAGAAATATTACTTTGAATGTTGGACAAAACATAACTGTACCAAATGGAGATTATCATAATGGTTTGTGTTTAATTTAACTTTTTTTTTTTTCTTTGAAAAATTAATTAATAAAATTTTTTTTTTATTCTGATTTTAGTTTATACAGTTTCATCAACACCTTCATGTTATATGTATGTTTATTTAAATCAATCTGATGCTGATATTGTTCATTTATGGGATCGATTTTATAATTTAACGGATCGTTTACTTAATGAAACAATTGATCGTAATCGTCCATTACATAGTGATAAAGAAGAAGCTGATCTTGTTCGTTTATCATATGAACATGTTTTTGAACAATTACGTAATAAAACAATTCATGAATTATTAGAACTTCCAAGTGATTATACAATACACAATAAAAATGAATCAAATATAAATTGGACTAATATTCGTTTACAATTTGAAACAAGTATGAATCGTTCAATAGTTAAACGTTTAGATACTAAAGTCAAATGGCATGAAAGAAATCTTCGATTATTTAAATCATTTATGAATAAGAAAAAGAAACAATTCTTACGATGGTAAAGTATTGAAATATTTTTATTAATTTTAATATTGAAAACAAAGATTAAGATTCAATAGAATCGCGTAAATATTTTATATAACATTAAGATCGATAGTTTAATTTAACAATTTGATAGAATACCTTGCTGAACTATTGCTAAATTCGTATCTAAAATTCACAATAAGAAGAATTTTACATTCAGGCATCCAGAGATTAAGTGCAGAACATTTTCGGCTTAAAAACTCATCAATATTTGTAACTCATAAAAAAATCGCTTCAAGTAAAGCAAAACATTTGCAATGGCATTTTGCCCAGAAGTTGAACCTAATGAGACTAAAATAAAATTTAATAATATACTGGTCTATAGACATTTCTTCTTAACATATGACTATTTTACTACAGTTACTATCTATGAAAAAAAGAGTTAGCAAATACTCGAAATTTTATGATTTTTTTCTTCGATGAATCTTGTAAAATGGTTATATGTTGAGAAGAAAAGTCTATAGATTCTTATTCTTGTAGACTTTTTCTAGTCTCACTGGATCTAACTTATAGACAAAATAGCAGCGCACAAGATTTGAATTACTTCATGCGATTACTTCACCTGATAAGGATAAATTGTCAAAAGCTTATTCAAACTTTATGTTTAAAATTATTTTCTATTCAGTTTTTAGAATGTTTATGAATAAACTATGTATTCAACTATTATAGTTTTTTCAAAAAATGCACATTCTAACATAGTGACAAAGATATACTTAATTAATATCTTCAACTAAAACTTTAGGCAGCTTAAATAACTTAAAAATGAATATTTGTTTTCATTTCATTTTAACATATAAATATTGAGTTTCATAAATTTGTATCGTTCTCTAAACTTTTGCACTACCATGTTGAAGTAAATTCAATCTATTTAATCTTTTTTATTTGCTTGAGTAATGGTTCCGAGAAAGATAATATTCTCTGGAGATATACCGATCACAGACAGAATAATTTTATGATATACTCGAGGCCTATTTGTTTACAGTAGAGAAATCATTCTACCCTATTTCACATTTGAGTCTCATAAGTACTGTATATACTCGTTAATAAATTATTGTATTATTTGCTTTTTATTCTAGTTATCAAATTGTCAAATTGGCTTTTAAGAGTATTATCCATCAAACAGATTTCATCCAATTAGTTGAAGATGAAATTAATAATGTTGAAGAAGAAAGCACAACAAATACCATTGTTACTGAAGAATCTCCTCCACAATCTTCATCAAAACCATCATCTTCTTCAAAGAAAAGTTCATCAACAAGTGGTAAAACAAAAAAGAAGCATACGAAGAAATAAAAGTTTTTAAATCTCATTTAAAAAAAATGACAAAATTCTTTTTCTCATATGACAGTGATCTTTTTTTTTTGTTCGTTTCTTATTTAATCGCATTATAATTTTCCATAGTTTTAATTATATTCTTAGAAAAGTAACTTCGTGTTTTTCGTGTTTAAGCTTAAGACTTATTATGTTTATGTTAAATCATGAATAATAATAATAAAAAATACAAAAACAAAAAATTAATGTATTAAAATGTGAACAAGTACATATAGTTAGTTTTTGTTGTTGTTGACTTTTTTCTTTTGTTTGTTATCGTTTACTGGTGATGAACTATTAATAAATTTGACAAGATCATCAATATTTTCATTACCACGATGACCAGGAATTGATTCAGCACGTATACTAGTTTGTTTTTCATTTTTCTTATGTTTTCGTTTAGCTGGTGTTTCTTTTTTTACAGCTGATATTGATGAATATAAATCATTTGGATTGAAAAATGATGAATCATTATGATGATGTGTTGGATCATTACATGTTTCAGAATGTTCATGGTTTGATCCAGATTCTGTTATTGAAGTTTTTTCTTCGATTGATGTTGCAANATACATAAATCTATTACAATCCTATGATCGTTTTACTAATCTTGAGTGAAAATTTTTAAGATTCATTTTTTGGAAAAACAAAATATGTTTGTCACATCTTAAGCGATATATCGTATTCTAAATATTTTTACATGATTTGAGAGAGTTTGATAAGCTTCACAATAATATGCATGTTTACAAAGCTTTTGATTTTATTTTGAATATGAAACTTAAAGGAAACCAGAAAAACCAAGACAAATTTCATGTATCAAATATTGAAGAGAATAAGTTGATCTTTCAAAAAGTTTTAACTGGTGGACTGTTTCATCTATTCAGGCAGCTCAGAAGAGGTATTTTCGGCTTCAGTATGTAACACTGCATCTCGAAACATCAATTAACTGTCGATCAGCTAAAGTTTTTGGAACTTAAGCATACTAACTCATGAAAGATATGTACAGATTTTTATTAGTTTGCATGATTTCATTCGAGTTTTATATTGAAAGCAGGATTCAAATTTTTCTTGATATTCATATTTTTGTAGAGCTTGTTGAACTCTATAGAGCTATATAAAAATGTCTATTACAAACATGTAGAGATTAATATTTGGCTCGGCTTTAACGACTCAAACATTAAAGATTTCTTTGTTTTTCTCAAAAAATGTAACGTAAAAATTTTCACTCAAAATTAATAAAATGACCATCGAATTGTAATAGTTTTATGTATTTCGAATTCTTTTTTTTTTCAGATGGTAGCTCTAATCTTTCTCTACAAAATGACACAATTTAATCAATAACTTCGTATAAGTTTGTTAGAGATATCATCGATTTACTGAGAGGGGTCGAAACTTTTGGATCACCCTTTAGAATTGAATCAGAAAAGGTTCATTTTATATGATCGATACTTAATGATTTTATAACATAATGAAAAAAAATAGCAGAATCAGTAACAAAAATATATGGAAGTGAGTTCATTGACTTTTTATGATACACTCTAAATATGTATACAATGTATTGAAAATGATCAAGAATCAATAGAACATTTTCTGTATTATCAATGACGAAAGGTTCTAGAGTATGTAGTGCGAAGATTCCAAACTATTTTAACTTTGAATATAATAAACTATACAATACTTGATTATTGAGAGAATTTTATCAATTTACTTTGATTTACTGCGACAATGAGTGAATAGAATACTGATCAGGAAGAATATTCTATCGATGAATTATATTGAAAAGAAAACAGTCAGATATTTTATTCGTTCTATCTTAAGTGAATCATGTTTGCAAGACAAAGGAGAAAAAATAACAATTAGATTAACAAAAACGCATGATGGGTTTTCAAGAATGGTTCAAACATACAGAGAGATACATGCACAAAATTGAATAAATTTGGTACATATTCCGCACATTATTAATGGTAAAATAAGGTAAAACTTGTCAGTGGAAAAATCAATGTGGAAGATGAAATATTGAAAATTTAGTTTCGTGGAAAAAATTTTCAAGATTTCGATCATATCTTCAAGTAGCGGCGGATCAATATAAAATGTAATCCATAATCAGTCAATCTGCTTCGCTAATTCTTCTACCATTAGTGTTGATTTGAGAAATCAAAGTAAGTAGTTGTAAGGTAAACAAATTTGACTGACCGTGGGCACATTAACCAGACGGTTGCATGCGAGGCTTACTGATGGACAGTTTGAATTTGTTGGTGAATTAATAGTGAAATCAAGCATGTTGATTTTGGATAAATCAGGCATCGATTGCATTATATGAGAACTGATTAAACTAAATAAAAAGAAAACCTATTCAATTCATGTTCAAATTCGATGAGAGAAAAAGATTTCTGGAAATCTATTCTTCGAAAAATTCTATTGATAAGAACAGTTTCTGACTCTATTTAATTATAACTGGCCATGTTTTTTAAATTATATATGGAAGCCTCAACACCAATACGGAATGCTAGTTGAACACATTGATTGTTGTACCTATTTTTCGAATCATCTTCTACTGCAGTTGTGGTCATTTGTGAATGAATACTTATTATTGTTACTTTCGGACAAACAGCCATTTTTTCATTCATCAATAATTGGTTTTCATATGACATCTACACTACTATTGGATAATGATCAAGATGCTTGTAATGAGGATATTTTGCTATTAAAATTGCTACCGGTATTTCGTAATGTTGTTTCTATGTACTTGAAAAAAACAAACAAACAAGTAGTGCACGATCAATTGCAAGAAATAATCCAACTAGAAACGCATGATCCGTATACTTTGAATCATTACTACATGACTACGATTCATAAATTTAAAGAGTATATAGCAGAGCTAATATCTGGCAGAAGAGATGAGAAAACGTGTTTCTCTGTGACAATTGACGATGATGCTGATGATAAGTCAGTCTTTGGTGCCATCTCAAATGATGATCAAGCAGTACAAGATATGATAATTAGTATTTATGCATATTGGAAATTGTTAATAAAACGTCTCATCGATTATGTAGCTTTGTCTATACGTGCACGATGCGTCTTTAACACATGTCCTGGTATACGAGAATGTTTGAGACAGATTCCTATCGAACAACCTAATTTCGCTGATGTAAATCTTGCTGAGGATACATTTGTTCGAGCTAAACAACAACAATTACAACACACAAAAGAACGGTTGGAGAAAGTCGATGCTATATTTGGCGGTGGTCGAATAACAATCGATGGCAATGATATGTTTGCTAGTGGTGCAATGTCAATTGAAAATTCTCCATTGATGACTTTAGATAAACTTGCAGAAAATCTAACTTCCACTAATGCCATTGAAAATGATGATCCTTCAATATCTACGCCCAGCAAAAATACTCAATAATCAGTTTTCAGTGTTGCATAAGTAGTTCCGATTAATTGTACCTTCAACTTCAATTCGCAAAACATTATGAAACATCAATTTTTCCAATTATTGTAAAACACAATTGTTCACGAGTAGACTTACAGAAGATTATATTTGTTCATAGCCAATAACTAGTAATCGTGCAATGCTAAGACTCAAAATGGAACTAATGCTCACTTAATTACTTGACTGAAACATATATCATCAAATTATCAGTTCAATATAAGTTTTGTTCTATTCTTTACAAGATTTAGTGCACCTCAGAGTGATTAAATAATTTAGAGAAAGGATGTGATTGTGTAGATCTTTTCTTCGATAATACTCACATCGTACAATTACTTTCTGTTAACTTTAGAGTAGCAAAGTAATGAAAAATTATTTAAACTAACATTTCATTCAGATTAGTTGGGATGTGGGTTCCAATCCCTTCTATAACTTTCTACGCCCACAACTTTTCCTACTCGGATCCAACGCCCAGCAATTATTTTAGCCATATTACGTTGTTTGCAAACTTTTATTGCTGAAAAATATACGATTTAGTTAGAGAGATAAATAACAACAGAAATTGAGAAATTATGTGAGATTGCATTAGGAAATGAATAAGGCAACTGATTTATTACTCAGTGACTGTCTTTTTAAGTATAATGTTTTTTTTTTTAAATATCACTGAATATACTTCCTACTTTTATTGTTGATGATATTAAATTTAAAAGTAATATTGAGGATAAACGAAAGAATTTCAGTGTTTATGTATATATGAGTACTTGCTTCATCGTGACAATATAGTGTCATCTTTCGAATAAACTTTGTTTTTCATATGCTTGATGATTTCGGTATAAAATTTATCTCTCATTTTATGTATATAAATTGTTCTCAAACATGACAATTTTGTTGAGATAAAAAAATAGTTTGGAACGATTAAAATAATCGTAAATTAATCAAAATGTACGTATCTGTCACGTACTCAGTTGGGTGGCAGAATACTAATCTAGAATGATTTTTTTGTCTACCTAAGGACAGTAATCATTTATTGGAGACTATTGTCGTTATAATCTTCGTAAATTATATTCCTAGTAAGAAGTTTCTTTTTGAATTCGTATATTTATCATTATGCTACGTTTCATGCTATTGTTTCTCTTTTAAATCTACTCAGTAACATATGATGGCCGAAGAAATAATACATGAAAAAACACATAAGATTATTTTTTTTTTGTATTATTTATTAAAGTAGAAAACATACAAATTTGATCTTTGTTATGGTTCAGATGTCTTTTACTGATACATTTGAATTTTTCAACTATTCCAGCAGAAGCTATGCTATCGCCAATAACATTAATTGAAATGATTTCTTATTTTGAAACATTGCTTATGTTTTAGAAATTGTCAAGGACATGTTAAATCAATATCTTGATTGTATTCTTTCAATTCGAAACCTTGCTTTGAAATGTTACATATTAACCATTAACAAGAGTATTTATTATTCATTTCACGATATAATATAGAAAATGTTGAACCTAATACCATTAACTTTTTTCGTTTTCTTGCGTAAGACCATACCATTTGCTGCTGGTCCTCTTGTTTGACACTATCCGACAATTTTTCTTTGAAGTTCAAGCATTGTTCAATATCTATCCAATTTATCTTGAGAGCAACTTCAAAAGTCACTTTTTTTTTTGTTATAATTAAGCCTAATAATTGGATTTTATATAGTCTTTCGACTATTATGGATTACTCGTTTATGTGTATTCACAAACAATTATTTTTCACTTTTTGCCTATCATCATGTCATATTGTGTAGGATCATACGTGCCATCCATCTTGTTGACAGAACGATATTGCAAGAAATAGTCATTAGTATGTGAATGCCATCACCGAACTAGCAATGACCTGAAAGAATCTATAAGAAAATCCATTTTCTGTATAATTTCACGACTGATATATACCTCTTGAATAGCCGAGGATACATATGAGTGAACACCGTTTAAATTTTCAAAACATGATGAGAAAAAAGCGACTTCATGCTAGATCTATTGAAATCATCTGAGATTTTTAGGATATATTGGAAGCGTGATGAAGAACCTGTGGGGAAATTTCTAGTTCTATGCAATGATATTTGAAAAAAATATTCATTATACAAGAGTCAACAGCTATTCTATATATTTAATTTGGCTTTGGTTTGGAAAAAAACATGCCAGACTGCAGGGTATGGCGTTATTTCTTTTTCAAATTCGTATGTATTAACCGGAAAAAAGGAGGCCTTAAAAGATTAATGTCTCGAAGAACTGTCAGTAAATGCGTTCTAATTAAAAAAGTGCATTGTTGTATTATATTAAAAATGCTTAATTCAAAAGGAATTTGATATGCCCTATATCTTAACATGTTCTTTGAAACAAAAAGAATTAAAAACATCGAATGAGGATCTACTGAGAATGCTGAGTTATGTCATCAAAAAAGCATTAACAAAGGAAAAAGCACTTGCCGCTTTTTCTGAAACAAGAAAATGTCGCAAAAGAAAAACAAAAGTTTAATTACAATTTTCGAAATGCAATCATTTAAGTCAGTTTTGGTCTTTTACTAATCACTTGACATTAAAACACGCTATCAGCCAATAAGTATTATCGTTTAGAAGATATTTAATTGTACACAGTTCACAAATTTTCGTCATTTTTTGTTCTCACTTTTTTATACACGGCTGAATAGAGCACATTGAATTACATAGAAAAAATATCTCTTTATTTTTATAGAGTAAGTTTCTTAAAAAAGAAATCATTGCGGAAAAATCTCAAAGCTTAGATTTCATTACAAAAAAATTTTATGACTGCTTTCAATATGATGTAATGATAAAATATTTTGAATAGTAGCTACTTCCAAGAAATAGTATCTTCAGGGTATCCAAAGAAACGAACTTTTTCAGGATGAAAGATTTTCTCAATTTTTAAATATGATTATAAACATCTTCATTGTCCAAAGAAAAAGTTTAAGTAGTTTGTTTTCAACAGCGGCGGCAAAAGAAAAATAAATTCCTTCATGTTTAATAATATTTGATCATCAAATGTTCAAAATTAAGAAAAACAAACATGGTATTCGGAAATCAACATAACAAATTGACTAACAAAAAATAGATTCTATTAAAAAAATATTTTTTCATCAAAATTTTAGCCACGGGGGACGGGGAGCAGGGGCACAAAGTACATTAATTGAAAAGAACCAAAGATATAGAGTAGGAATCGAGTTTTGATGAAAAGCACTTCATAATACAGTGTATGTTTTTTCAGTTAATTTCTTCTGTTAAATCCAAACACTATATTTGCTTTTCTTAATTTTGAACTTTTGATGATCAACATGATTAAACATGAAAGAATCTGTTTTTCTTTTGTCGCTGCTATCGAAAAAAAATGTTTTTCTCAGTAGAGAATCAAAGAAAAAATGAAAAAGTCACTTAATTTTTTCAGTTAAATGAGTGCTTACAATCAAATTAAAGAAAATGACAAAATCTTTTTATCTGAAAATGTCACTTCCTTTTGGAACCATGCTGATACCATTTCTCGAAAGTAGTCACGATTCAAAAATATCTTATCATTACATCATATTGAATCAATCATAAAAATTACTTTTTCTTAGTCAATTTTGTGTTATAACATGAGAGAAAATATTTCTACAGTTGCATTGAGCGAAAAGAATCTCTTATTCATAGTTGCATGAAAGATTGAAATTTTTTTTTTTGGTAATGAAATCTAAGTTTTGAGATTTTTTTCGAAAGTGTTTTGTTTTTAAGGGAACATACTCTGAAAAATTCGAAACTAAAGCCGTTCACTGGATCTAGCAAAATTTTCTGAAGCCGATCAACGAAATGCCTATGTATTTATCAACAAATCATAAATCTTTATGGTCAATATGTTTTAATAGAAAACGTTCAGGTTCAAGTCTTGGCTCAGATATTTTCTATTAAAAAATTGTACGTCAAAGATTGTAATTAGTGCATTTGTAAATACATGGGGTGAGAAAGAAGTATTTCTCAACCAGATGCATAGTGAAATAATAAATTAATAGAAAGAAAAAAGATAGAACGGCTCATATTTCGTCGATGAGGTTCAGACAGCATTCTGGATCCGACAAAAGACTTAGCTGGACTGACACTTTTCCTATGTAGTTCAATGTGTTCTATCCAACCAATGCATAAAATAAAGATTAAGAAAATTTTTGAAATAGATAATAACTATTTAATACACATTACAAATAAGCAGTTTATATGAAATAATAAAAATAAATCTGTAAAGTTTTAAATAAAATTAAATGTCAAGATCTTTTCATTGTAGCTCCATGCTCGATTCAACTGATTGTATCGGCATATTTGGATGAATTTGATTTTCATTGTAAGAAAACCATCGTTTCAATCGTTGCCAATATTTCTTTATTAAAACATATTTCACTTGACGACGAAATCGTACGGAAGATGCCATAAATATATAAAAAGATACCTAAATTAAAATACATTATATAAATAATAATAAAAAAAAGAACCAAATAATATCAATTAAAAATTATTACCGCATAATTTAGATTAAATAGTGAACTTGTAATTACTCCCACTAGACTATTAATTGCAAATAGTAAAATATTTGATTGATTAACTTTTGCAAGATGTGTATACATTCTTTGAATAGCATAAGGTAATGTTAATATAACGAATGCAATAATACGAGTAAGGACCATTGCTGTTAATTGTCGATCAAGTCGTCGGCGAACTATTGGTATTTGTCGCCGAACAATGCGTCGAACATTTCGATATGCTAAAATACTAAATAATGATGCTATGAAAATAGGCAGAAGTCCAGATAAAATTGGATAATAGAAATATACTAGATAATAAGACATCATTGGACTGAAAACACTACACAATGAAAATCGAATTTCAAGAAATATGCAAAATGGAATAGTATTTAATGCGGAAATAACAATTGCTGTAAATATTAGAATTT